CAAAAGAATTTCATACTATTAAATTATCATCTTTGCCGCGGAATAGTTTCCGTGCAAAACAGTTTAATCCGAGGACGATAAGGGTGCAAGGAGAATACACTGCCACGAGCTTCCGCAACATTACGAGTTAAATATTTTATTTTGCAAATTACGACGTGTTCACCATTAACACCCGTGGTTTTTACAATCAATTTACCTCTTAACGAGTTCAATGGTTAATATTATAATATAGTCAACTGCTTACCGTAGTATGCGTGACGCGAAATCGCCATGCGCACGTCGAACGTTTACGTTTTGTAAGACTGAACGCCCTAGATATAAGGTGGTACACGTTGAAATTACAATGCGCTCTTTTATTGATAAGATATTAAAATGTTTTAATCGGTTGTAATTATGGATCAGCGCTTTTCATTACCGAACGAAACACGACCGATACCGCACGAAAATGTTACGATATTAACTCGAATTAAAACCGTTCATTCGTCGATTCATAACATTGTCGGCGATAACTATTGTTCCAATGCATTGTCTTTTTTTCGTACACACCGTCAAATAATATCATCCGAGAACTTTTAATTGTTCTAAAAAAAACGAAAGTTATATTTGTCCAAATTTATCGAGTTACGATTGTATGTAAAAAGTCTAAACACGTTACGTATGCATTATCATTGTTCGATAAAACATTAATAGATGATTAATAATCCTATTGGATTTCACAACAAAGCGAAATCGTATAATACATTAAACGTGATTCGATGTATTATTATGTCGGGTTTTGAGTGTCGAACAGAACTTTTAGTAAAATGTCGCAGCAAAATATTAATTTTATGATAATATCCCGTCCGTTCGTTCGCGAATATATCGTATATGTATATCACGTATATTACGGTATTATTCTACACGTATTACATTCAGACGACTTTTAAAGCAACATACGAAGTGCCGTTTTCTTGTACGTTTGTTCGAGTAAATCATTTACATTTGCCAGGAACAAAACAAATGTCCCCGAGTTCGAGAGCCATTAATCCCGTTCGTGCGTCACGATTCGCAATAAATCTCCGCGGAAAAAGCGTATTTTGAAGATTATCAGGACAAGTTGATCCTAGTGTTGAAAAGTGACGTATGCAAATTTCAGGCGATTCACGCGACCCTGGCGTTATCTACCTACTCTACTGTTTTTAAAGAGTTAAGTTGTCGAAATTGTCGAGACTTGTAAAAAACTTTAATTAAAAAACAATATGGCCCCAGGGTCCTCAAGGTTCTTTAAAGAGTGCGCGGGGGCAAACGACCCACGGTGAGGATGCAACGAGCAGGAATAGGAAGAGGAGAAGGACGACGATAACAAATTGAAACATGTCGGACCCCGGGAAAATTAATTATTCATTCGTTTATTTTCAATTATAAAACGTCGGCAGGAATTTTCATACTTACGAAAATGTTCGCCAATAAGCCATTATTATTTTTATAAACACAATTTATTCGTTCGCAGTCAAGAAAGTAAAATAACCGCGTTGCACGAATCGCGTACGTATACGCTTACTTTAAAACGTACCGATTGTTTATCTTGCTCGAATGCGGCTGTACAATTTTTTTGCGTAACATAACTGCCGACGATAAAAAGAATATTTTGCGTATTATAAAATTTATTAATTTTTTTATTATTATTATTATCAACCGACGCTGTAAGTATAATAGTGTCGGTTTGATGAACATAACCTAAATTTTATTACATTCTTTTTATATACATCACATCAACGGGATCGTTAAAGTTTGTCACTGCATGAACACGGATGTATTTTTTTTATTTTATGATTATTTTGCTTTTACAAGAAACTAATTTTATAACACTCTCTGCTAGATCAATCGAAATACAAATTTGTTAAAATGTTTGAAAAAAAATATAAATTATTTCAGGAAATTTCGTGCGATATAATTTTTACGTTTAATGGGTTTTTGCTTTGTTTACCATTCGGTGCAATCAAATTATGTGCGAATAAGTGGTTTATTAATATTACATGTACCACATGAATATACCTGATGATAAATGAGCGTAAAACAACTGAAAGTGTTTAGAATATTTTGTCAATTAATAATTATTGTGTTTTTATTTTTAATTTTTTTATTATTATTTTTCAAGACCACGTGGACGAACGTGAAAACAAAAATTTTAAATATACATGACGGAATAGAGATGATGGCGAACAACGAGGACGACGACGATGACGAGCAAGGCGATTTTATCATTTGATCCCTATTAATCTAGATTTTGTCGGGCACTGATCTCAACCCGAAGAAATACTTTTCGTTTTTACCCCTTCCGTCGAATCGACATCGAGACGTGGAATAAGTGGATTCATTTATCTTATACCCGCGGCTAATTGCGATGGCCCCTTCACTGTATTGCTTGCTTCTGCTGCTGCTGCTGTACCAACCCTTTTTCTCATTTTCTACCGTTATGTGCGTCGCCGTACGAAATAAAATAAGAGGGACCGACGGCCTGTTGTAGGGGAAAAAAAGGAAACGATCGTCTTTTTTACGACCCCTTTAACCCCCTTCGTTCGTGTACTGATCATCTACACCCACCGAAAAAAATAATCTATCGACTGCCATTGCCACCTCACGTTCTTTCCTTTCTTTTTTTTCCCTGTTTTTATTTCTGTTACTAATCAAACTCCCTTCGTTTTCGCGATTTTTCCCCGTTGCCACGTCGTTTCTTCTTCTCGCTCACCACTTCTCTCCAGTATACGCTGTTCTCCTGCACCCCACCGGGAGGAATTATAAGCTTCCGACGTCGGTGTGCCACTTGCCGAAGCCACCGCCAACCGTGATGGGTTTGAGGGAGTTCATTTCCGACGAGATCATCACGCAATAAAACGTTAAACCGAAGATCGCGAAATAATAGCCGCGTAAGCGCGTTACGTCATATTTGTCGGGAAATACGTTCAAACGACTTGAAAATTGAGTTTCGGGACGATTTAACAGCGCTGGATCGTGTATATTATTATAACTAAACTTAACGTTGTCTTTCATTTTTCGAAAAGCACAATAAAATACAACGCTTTCGTGTTGAAACGGCCGATTTGAAACAATCAGACTGCTGTTATGTTTCCGTTATTGTTATTTCATCGTAGTAACGTAGTCGGGTACAATGAGCGTGCGGCACGTTTAGCGGACAAAATACTTTCTGGTTAACGACGCTCGCAATGTTACAATACGATTTTTTTTTTTTTTTTTTTTTAAACCTGCTGTAATAATGTAAAAGACCAAATTATCACATCGTGTTTCGGCAACGGTTTACTCGTTTTTAATCGTCGGATCGTAAACATTTCACTCTAAAATGAGAAATACAGGTGCATTGGTTCGACATAATGAATAATAATATCATAATCCATGTAGAGCGAAGAGTATTATATATTTTAATTGAATATATCTATACTTGTAATGTTTTATCGAAAACGAATCAACTTACAAATAAAACGCGTTCCAGTCGATAACAGGATTTTGATCAATTGATTAGCCTAAAATCGTGTTTGTGAATAATTAAAAAAAAAGCCTTTTAACGGCAATTGTTAATTACTACGCGCGCAGTCACTTTATCTCATTATTTATACATGTTTATTTTCACATTTTCTTTAAAAACGATTAACTAACAAATTAAGTTAATTCCATATTTATTTCAAATAATTATCTTAAATGTTTTCGGTAAAAACATAAATATTTATTGTTAAACTATCAATTAAAATCGGGTATCATTGATGCATTTATTTTTCATTCAACGTCACAATATCAACATATGCTTTCAAAGTTCTCGCACTGTTAAAAAACGTCGCTCTTTAAATTTCAATTCAATGTGAACGCTTGTTACGCCGAACACCCAAATCTTCAATTTTTCGATTACATGAATTAAATCGAAATCCTTTCGAAGATGTCATTACATTTAAAAATAATTTTATTTTGTGAAACTCGATGTTTCGAGTTTTTCTGCTCCTTCAATTTTTTTTTTTCGATTAATTTTTGATTTGATAGATTCGATAAGAAATTACTGTATTAATAAAATTTAAAATATTCTTAAACTATTTATCTCTTAATATTTTGTACCTTTTATTAGGATTTTCTTCATTTGTAGTTTCGCGTTCTCGTAAATTGTTAATAAAAATAATTACGAGTAGTGGTTATTAAAGATTTAACAACAGAAACTTGATATGAATGTCAATATTAAATGAATATATATTATTTTGATAGTTGATATAATGTTTTAATATTTTCTGAATGCCACTTTTTGTTAAAATATGGAATTAAAAATAGCTGTTTACATAAAAAAAAAAAAAATCATCAATATTTAAATTTTAATGCCTCTTAATTTACTTTAATAATAGATTTAGAAAACTTGATATTTTATCTTAAATTATATTTTTTCTATTATATTAATTTTCACATATATGTTGAGATCTGATTTCAAACATAAGTCTAGAACTACTTGTATCGCCGTGACGTCCGTCCATTCAATGGTTACCGGTTTATACTTAGTATTTTTATTTATATTCATACTAGACAATAGAAAAAGATAGGTTATGAAGTATAAATACTTTATTTACAAATTAAGATGTTTATTAATCCCGTTCAAGTTACCAAATGCTTTTGAAAATGTTTATGAAATAATAGTTGATCGTTTAAGATACGATAATAAACCGCGAATTTGGAACGCTCACAATTACTAGGACAGTATTACATTTTATTTTTAGAAAAAAATATTTTTTTATTTTTATATTTTTTTTAAAACCTATATATTATAAAAATACTACAATACAGTATTGATTTAAATTATAGAACTTTAAGGAATTATTTATGCGGAAGTTATCGGTGAATTATATATACGCGATGCTAAGCATACTTTGAGCCGATGGATAATATTGTTTTAGAGTAAAAATATATCCAAAGTATAAAACGTTTTCAGGATTTCAGTTTTTCGAATATTCTCAATTGGAATGAAAAACCAAACAAACTCGTACTTTATTTATATTTCTCATTTGGTTTTCAAATAAAAATATATTTCCTTACCGAACATTACACACTAATTTAATACTTCAACAGAACACTTCGGCTAGGTATTAGTTCACATTTGATTTGATTGTAGGCGCTTTGTTAAGAAACTAAATGAATAGCAACACCGTTGTTGAAAAAATAATTAAGTAAGAATGACTTTTAAAAACATATGTAAATTAATACTGTTTTGGTTTTCGTGTAATCCAAACCGCTTCATTTGGACACCGTTTTTAATCCTTGCGCGGGACGAAATTAAAAATACGAACCGACGGACACTTCACGTTACTCTTGGGTTAGCGTTGCTATTCAGCGGCATCTAGCGAGTCAATTTTACAGAGTTTCTGTGCTTAGTACGCATAGAATTCACTTTGTACCCCGTCGCAGCGCTGCACTACCCCTCGGTCGCTGCGGATCCGCTACCAGGGAGCGTTGGACGTACCGAATCTACAAGGGATGTAATTCCAGCGTTCCGGCATTTCCATAGCAACTCGGTCGCGACAGCCGAGGGCGACGAATGATTGTGTTTCGACCTGGAGGGTCGTCTTTTTTTTGGCGTATAAATAAATACACCGGACACCTGTAACAAGCGGAAATTTGGTGAAATTAGTGAGGGGGCTGAGCATTATTTGCTTATTACACCTATAGATACAACTGTATTTAATTATTTATTTCAACAAAGCAATTTACAAAGTTTAGTAATTTGACATACTCGACAATTTAACCAAAAAAACAATTAGGTGCCTTATCTTAAACATTTTTGGAGTAGGTATTCTAAACAGATATTATTAATTAATTAAATTAAACAACCAATGCGGGTATTATTACATATTATTAATATTACATTAATTACGATAGTTCCAAGTCATGACAATAAGTTTGTAAAATCTTACGAATTTGATATAATTTTTATCACAGAATATTTTTTTTTCGGTTATTAAAAATGCATTTTACAATTATAATAATTATTGTATTTTTAGTCACTTAAAATTTTTTAGGGCTAAGGGTGTTAAGACCTGTATTTTAAATTTCTGGGGGAGCTTAGTATCCTCACGCCTCCCCTCCCGATTTCCGTCTATGGGCGAAAGGGAAAATATTTATTCGTCGAACACGTCTCACGCATAGATCGGCATACGTTTGTAGAAATACGCGGCCGGATAATCTCTTACTGTTGTTCTAGGTTTTGCCGGAACGAGAGAAAAATTACCTTCCGGGAAAATTCGACCATTAACCCGACCCACAAAGATCAAGCGTTTCCGTTACGTTTGGATGATTCTAAAGTTATCCAAAGTTACAAACATCCCATTCAACAGGATTCGCGGACCCTTAGGTAGCCGGTTTCTTAACGAAATGGTTTAGAGTTTGCGCGAAGTAATTTATTAAAACGACCAGTGCCCTACACAAGTTTAAAGCAATGAATTATTTTATTATTTTAAGTAACGTTACGGTCGGGATCCATTATAATATAAACATTCAATGTAGTTTGTAATCACATGTAATAAATGCCACATCAGGTTTTGAGATGAATAATAAAAAATAAATAAAATGGTAAGTTTTTATAACGATATGTATTATGTATGCAATGTATTTGGATTTAAAAACATACACAACAAACATAGTTAAATATGTGTGTGTGTGTGTGTGTGTGTGTGTGTGTGTGTGTGTGTGTGTGTGTGCATGTGCGGGTTGCGAGCAAAATTCAAAATTAATAAGAAAATGTATGAAGAATTTAAAAAAAAAAGATTATTACACGAACATTTTGAAAGTCTTGTTGCTCTTTCATAATTCTTGTATATGATTACCTCCATAAATATTAAAATAAATTTTACTTGAATTAATAGCATACATCTAAAAACAAAAATAGAAGAAATATATAAAAATAGGTATAAATTGTTTAGACATATAAAACAATGATTTTATTAAATCGAATAATGAAATACCTAGATGATCTGACGTACACAACATTTATTTCACGAAATAATTCAAAAGATTTATATTCGATACGATATTTTTGACACAGGGTTGATTTAATATTTGTCAAGGAAATATAATAGAAAATTGAATTGTATATGAATCGATAATTTTACGTAATTACGTTATAGTTTTCGGTAGGTAGTGATGACGGAGTTTATGCATAAAGGTGTTGAGAATTTTAGGTGGTCACTCGTTTGGGACCCAATGATGTTCGGTGTAGATTAGTTTCGACTCTAGGGAACATTTCAATTAGATCCTCTCCTGACACGTTACGTGTTGCTTGCAAACTTATCGTTTTTATGTTTTATTTTTCCTATCACACTTTTCTGCAATCATTTACGAATGTTACGATTTTTATGTACGTGAGATAATAAATAGTTTACATGTTATTCTTATACGGACGAACATAAGAACCGTGAAGAAATGTTCTAGATCGGTATTTGGCAATTTTTTTGGACCCCTGGGTCGCATTCAAAAATTGAAAAGGGTTCACAGACCAAACAATACGTAAAGTTGATATGATATTCAACGAAATTTCTTAATTTTGAAATATAGTGCAGGCCGTATAGAAACATGTGGGTTGGATTCGGCTTATGGGTCATCGGTTGCCGTCAACTGTTTTAGATTATGATCAGAACATTGAACACAAACGGATATTAGAAGGAGAGAGAGCTCCCGGGGACTAAGGCTTCACGAATGCTTTCCCAGTCCCCAAAAAATATCTTAAATATGGTGTGAAGTCGCTCAACTCAACGGTTTACTTACTTGTCAATTTGAAATTGAACAATGCTAAAATATCTTAGAATATGATTTAATCTCTCAGTTCGTAAGTCAAAATCAGAATCAATACATTTTAATAGACATTTTCCAGATTGTATTCGTAGTCCAAGTATACATTGTAGTCATGGTAACACAACCTAGGAGCCGATCACTATCAGATTAAAGAAAAAAAAATTATAATAATGATAATCGATTTTTATTATTAAAATCACAAATTTTGATAATTGCCTTAACTGATAAAGCTTTTTATTTTATTTTTATAATAATCGTAATTCTCTATCGGTATGCCGAATATTTTTTGCAGCCCAAGTACTGTACATTCCGTATAGCGACTGTAAATAAGATAAAAAGTTCAAAAACACACATTTCTTTTATTACTGTATAACATACTAGTCGATGTCTAATAAAAAAAGCCGCGATCAATGGAGGTGTCGAGCAGTCATCATAACCGTATTACGGTACGATTGTGATACATTGTTGAATGTATTCTCATGTGTACATTTTACTTTGGTCCACATTTGGTCTGAAAGAAGAACAAATGGTTTTATGTAGATATGGCAGGCGCGTATATCTTTATCGAGTTTCGCGTAGATGATGTTTTAAATATTGTAGCCTAACACTCGGTATTCTGAAATGTTTGCAATACCTGTGTGGCGCATTGCATTACGCATAACTCGGGCCAGCAGATATCGATTATCTTAATCGATTAAGTATTAATGGAACGGGGTAGTATAAACTATACTAATCCGTATTGTTGAATACTTTATAATATTCATTATAAAGTTTAGCGTCACGTTCGGATCACTTGGATTCGTTTATTGTATTGGAGTGAAGTACGCAGTCGGTAATAATAATTACTCGTGTACAGCATATTGTTTAGATTATGTTGTACAAGCGATCCCGATCTACGGTAGTAAATTTCGCAACTCGGTGCAACATCTCAGTACCTCCAGGTAAACTTACCCGAACATGAGTAATGGACTTCTTTAATTTTGACATTTTAATCAAGTCACGTATTTGTCTTCGGTAAATCACTAATCAAATTTAAACCACCCGTTCTTACTGCACGTACCCTATCTCGGTGTATATATATATATATATATATATATTTATAGACTAATAAGGTGGGATTTTCGTTCTTAAGTCTCTTCTGGCGTAAGATGAAGTTTTAGAGGCGGCTGATATTCCTCTTGGACTTATGAATTACCTATCCAACGTCCGCCGTCCGCTCACGCAGTCGGAAATTCGACAACGCTAACACTAAAATTAATAATAACAATTAAAATTGGCCTCGGGCTATTTAGAATATTAATTGCCAACATTAATTGAGTTACTCAATGGCATACCGGTGGGGTTTTGTCGAATGTTCGGACAACGATTTCATCGGATGAGGTACATAGGTATATGTATACAGACTATATATATATATATATATATTGTCTATGGAATCTTATGTTATTTTAATCCACGTCGTAACATAAAGTAGCGAAATCCTCTCCACAAAACCGACATTAATAATAAATGTTAAATTTATTCATTTATGCAAGTATGTATCTTAATTTATTTATAGCAGGGGAACCGAGACTGGGAGTAACGAGAGGTATCTTAAAAATGTATTAACAACTTGGATGTTCGTAAACGGATACAATTTAATAGATTTCGCACAATTATTTGTAAATATATAATTTAAAATACATAGAACTGAAAACGAATTGACCACAGTTATATAATTATGTGTCGTCCGTTGAAATACTTTAAAACATTAGATGATTTTTAGTTTTATAATGCAACGGGCTTAGTAAATATTTTTCCGTATTAATTAAAAACCAAACGAATACGATTGAAGAAAAAAAACATTCGATAGTCGAAATTTTAAGACTGGTGACTTAGAAGCGTAAGAAATATTTAAAAATAAAAATGTATACATACACACAAACAAACGTTCCAACCAGTTGCCGTATCAATCAAAATATAATAGAATTCATTGTCGAAATCGATTTATCCAGCTTTTTTCTTTTTGAAAGTAAATTGCCTATACACTCGCCACCCGGAAATGCCTTTAAGCAGTGCTTGAGATGGCGAATACTTACCAAATATGTTTATAATTATTGAATTCGTTATTGGAAGATACAATAAGATCTGTAAACTGTTAGCTGGCAGCCAGTATCAAATATTCCATTATTCTAAATTTTCCGCACGTTCGTTAACTATGTTCGTTAACCGGTCGTTGTTTCGGACGCGTTTAGAGGTGAAATAATCATTATCGCATAATAATATAATATCCAACGATAATTAATGTATGATCAAATCCGGCGATTGTTTCGATACGCATAGAGAGAATAGATGATATACATTCATTGGAAGTGCGACGAAATTATTAAAGTAGATATTCACAGCGAAAAGTCTACTCTAGCGTACAGCGATGCGCAACAATAATACGGTATTCATCATTAAGCACAACCGTAAACGAGTAGTTCCGATCGGACAAATGAAATATTCGTCTAATAACTGTTAAATAGGACGAATACATTATTACTATTGTGATACTGTCATTGCGACACAACACACGGCGCGTATTATATATAATTCAACACAGTGACGTAGAATTAATAGGGTAAAAGTAATTTCGCGACAGGTAGAGGACATATTGGAGCTATTAACGTGCACTCGTGCGGAAGCGGTGCACAGCTCGAAAACGATAATTCAATAAAAAAAAAAAAATAAAAAAAACCAATAGGAATTATTATAACGATATTATAGATGCAGGGCCGTAGCAATGGAGGGGGCTAGAGGAGCCTACGCCCTGGGCACAATTCCTGGGAGGGT